TTTTTTTGTTACAAATACTTATATACTAAGACAACATTACCTATTAAAAAGTGTTGTAAAATATATTTCTCACGAAACTTTAAATACTGTTATTGCTGTCTTCTATTATTTGTGAATGTTAGTGGAACCCATAATATTTCATTCTGTGATATCACTTTGCCGTATATTCTATATAGTGGTTTATAAAAATAACTTGTCTATTTACTACCAAAACGTGAGAGGATTACGCACAAAATCACACGATTTTCTGAAGAATGTTCTGTGTAACAATTATGATGTGGTATGTGTCACTGAATCATGGCTTAATAGTAATTTTTATGACAGTGAATACTTCGACAGTCGATACGAGGTTTACCGATGTGATCGCAACGTTACGGTTAGCGGTCGCGGGATGGGTGGCGGCGTACTGATCGCAGTGCGGCGCAGCCTATGCCCGTCGCAGCTCCATCACGAGTGCTCGCCGATGCAGGCAGAAGAGGTTTGGTTATCTATCCCATTAATTGAAACATTGTCGCATGCGGGCTGCGTGACGTCATCGCACGAGTCTAATACTCGATCGCCGGCCCAGCGCCGCTTACATATTATAGCAACTTATATACCCCACGGTTGTAACCACGAATCACAATTGACATCGTTCTATAACAGAGTAAGCGATTTTATAATCTCAAATCCCGACGATACTTATCTAATACTGGGCGACTTTAACGTCACTTACGCTGACTGGTACTTTAATTCTTATAGTGATTGCATGGAAATACGTACAAACATTAATAGTCTCGCATGTCTTACTACCGATTTTATGAATATATCGTCACTATTACAATGCAACAATCAATTTAATATTAATAATAGATTATTAGATTTAATTTTTAGTAATACAACATGTAATGTTATGCGTCCTGAATTTCCGTTAGTACCCGAAGACGTGCACCACAAATCCCTAGAAATTAGTTTGAATTTAAAATCCCCCGCCCCATTACCCCCCGCCAAAATTAAGAAAAAAAACTTTCATAATGCTGACTTTGGCTTGATAAAAACTGGACTTAACACTGTTAACTGGGAGGAAGTTTTTAATACCATGACGGATATTGATTCAATGACGAGTTATTTTTATAAAATTTTAAACAATTTGATAGACACATATGTACCTACTCAAAACCTTTGTAGCGCAAACAAACGCCCGCCGTGGTTTACTTCTTGTCTCATAAAACTAGAAAAGGAAAAGCTTAAATATCATAAGAAATGGAAACTTTATAACAACTTACGAGACTACCAGACCTTCTCTTGTCTTCGGAAGAGGTTTAAGAGGATGGAGGCAGAATGTTACAAAAAATTCATTGAACTTTCTGAGGATAATATCAAAGCCTGTCCAAAGTTATTTTGGTCTTTCGTAAAGTCAAAAAAAAGCTTCAAGTTGCATTCCTGAAAAAATGATATATAAAGACAAAATTATTTCCACTGGCCGTGAAATATGCGAGGCTTTTAATGATTATTTTCATTCAGTTTTCATCCCTTCTACCCGTCAAAGTTCTGATAATACTATTTCTTACTCAGGCAGTTCACCCGTAGATATACATTCTATTAACATCTACCACGATAATGTTATCAAAGAACTGAAACAAGTAAATATTCATAAAGGTGCAGGGCCCGACGGGATCCATCCTCTTCTCATATCCGAATGTGCCGAAGAACTTGCAACACCCATTACAATCATATTTCGTTTCTCTGTCCAAACTGGGACATTTCCCATTTTATGGAAAGAGTCTTTAGTAACCCCCATTCCAAAAAATAAAAGACGTGAATGTATAGACGAATACAGACCTATATCGAAACTTTGTATCTTTGGCAAAATCCTAGAAAAGATAGTAACCGCTCAAATGTCGTACTCTTTCCGTAATCACATTTCCCAGGAACAACACGGTTTCTTTAAGTGCCGTAGCGTTGACACCAATATGTTAACTTTTAATGACTTTCTGTTGCATGCCATGGATGATAACCTACAGGTGGACGCCGTGTACACCGACTTTTCCAAAGCTTTCGATAAAATAAATCACGATCCGCTAATAAAGAAGCTTGCAAGGGCCGGTGTGCATGGCAGCCTTCTCAGATGGATCCAATCCTACATTAGTAATAGGAGTCAAGCAGTCTTTGTAAAGGGTTATTCGTCACGATTTCTTCCAGTCCCTTCGGGTGTACCTCAAGGGTCTCATATTGGGCCTTTACTGTTTTCAGTCTATATAAATGACATTGGCAATGTCCTGAAACATAGTCACCATCTCTTGTATGCTGATGACACTAAGTTGTATCGAATCATCAGATCAATTACTGACTGCCACAAACTCCAAGAAGACTTACACCGATTACATGCATACTGTGAGTTTAACCATCTGTTTCTAAACAGCGATAAATGCTACATAATATCGTATACTCGCAAAAAAAATCCCGTTACTTTCGACTACCACATAAATCAGAAGGTCTTAAATAGAGTAACCACAATCAGGGACTTAGGTATAATCATGGATTCGACCTTATCATTTATTCCACATATTGAGCACATATTAGCTTCGGCTTTTAAAAATCTAGGTTTTATACTACGAATAAGTAAACCTTTTAAACGTCCCGAAACTCTAAAAATTTTATACTTCTCTTTTGTCAGATCTTTCCTTGATTTTTGCAGCACTGTTTGGAGCCCTTGTTATGAAGTTCATATTAGGAGAATAGAAAGAGTTCAAAAATTGTTTATTAAATCCCTAAATTATCGCCAAAATATTTTAAACCAGTCATACACCGATTCACTAAAAAAATACAATTTACTTTCTCTTTGCAATAGGCGTAAAATGTTTGACATAGTATTTCTATACAAAATCATTAATAACCTAGTCGACTCCTCGTTGTTACTTAGCAGATTGTCATTTGTTTCCCGAGTCCGTCTGCCTGTGCGCCCCTCACGTCCAAAACCACTTTTCGTAACTCCCCGATATCATAAAATTTATACGCGAAACTTATTTGTGTATCGTTCCACTAACACTTACAATAAAAAATTCACAGATATTGATTTATTTAATACATCAATATCAAAGCTTAAATCTGCTCTCTTTCAAAGTTTGGCTTGTTAATAATCTATTTACCCTTCACTGAAAATGTGGCAGCACTCAATTCGCTAATTGAATCTGAACTAAATTTGTCAGTGTTATAATAACCATATTTTTAACATAGGTTTTTTTTCTCTTTCTTTTTCTTAATTACACACGAAATGTTAACTAGATACCTCATATTAGAACTTAGTGTATTAATAAATAAATAAATTTATAATGTCCTTTAGTCCTAAAAGTAGCTCAATAAGTTTAAAATATTGTAAAAGTTTAGTTACAGGCACTATAGGTCTTTAGTTGTATTATTATTTATCCATGTTACTATCTATTTACATGACTGTTTGTTGCCTTGAATAAATAAAAAAAAAAAGAAATCAGCTTTCTCCACCACTAATGATTGTTGTCGGAGATAGATTGGATGTGATACGTGGTCCTTGAACGTTGTTCGTATGGTGAAGCTTAAGATAACTCAGCGAGCTATCTAGAGAGCTATGCTCAGAGTATATCTTATTTTTATAGAATAAGGGTGACAAACGAGCACATAGTCAACCTGATTGTACGTGAATGCTGTAGCCCATAGACATCTATATTTATCCTCGATTAAAGATTAAAATGCAGATGCGTTGTTACCCCTAATAACTAAGATGGACAGCCTCGTTAAAAAGGGTATCCGGTTCTCTACACTCACCATATGAAACAGAGCAGTATTAAGCTGCTATTTTACGCTGGTATTCTGTGAGAGCGTGGTCCTTCCCCAGTCGGGTCGACACATGCGTGCTACAACCATAATATAGCTGCAGCTGCAGCGTGGCTCAACCACGCATAAATCTGCTTGACAGACTTCGAAATGATGGTATCCAGTTCAGTAAGCTGTAGTGGCAATGGGTGGGCCGTAAAGCTCGAAAAGTTGACCCGACGGGGAAGAAAGGTTCTCACGTAACAGCCTCGTGTCGAAGTGTCAAAGTGTCCGCCGACACTCCACTAAATGGATTGACGACCTGATAAGAGTTACAGGAAGTGCTCAGGATCGTGCTTAGTGGCATTCCATGGGGGAGGTCTTCGATCTTCGAGGTATATGTTAATAAGTGTACTTATGTTAGGCTGTGATAATGATTATGTTATTTAAGGTGGAGTGGGCGCCAAAAGCAGTTTTTTCGCGCTTTATATGGACTGTTTTTTTGGTCGGCCCGCGCGCTATTTAATGCCATTGATATTTCTTTTTAAAATTATATATTATACTCTTTTATTGAAAAATAATATTATAATTATTATATAAGTAATTCACTCACGTATTTACTGGTGAACACAAAGCCTGGATTTAATTGAAATCGATTTAATTACATTCGAATGAAACTGCTTTTTCACTTAGTGGACGTACCAAAAACTGTAGATTTTGAGGAAACTTTGCGATTTTTTTTCTATCAAGCCATAATGTGTATAGTCCACCATAATAAATATAATAAAGAAAAAATTTTAAGGAATTTACAAAAATGTGAATTCGTAGTTCTTAAAAACAAAAAAATTGTACTTATAAAGCGTGAAAAATCCGCTTTTGGCGCACACAACACATCACCTTAACGAAAATTCAATTAAGTTACCTATATCTTTCGCTGTTTCCTAAAATATTATTAATAATGCATAACTTAATTACATATTCTAGTAAGTATATTTAAGTATTACGTATGTTATGAATAAAATGCAGTAGGTAATTAAAATTATTGTACATTCCTTAGATAAAATTTCTGGCCGGTTACGGACTATAGCTTCGATCACCTATCAGTTTTCTGAACGTTTAGCGATTGTGAATTCAAATCAAAAAAGTAAAAAAATCTAAGACGTAATTATGTTTTCACGCAAATTTAATTTCTTTCATATAACTTTTTAAATGTAATACAAAATTAAATCAGTTCATTCGGAGTCAGAAGAACTCATAAAGTTTAACTTGCAACTTCGCTTGCATTCCTTTTTGAAACTTTTACTTAAACTTTTCTTGCAACGGTAAATACGGCAAACATTTTTGCGCACCATTTTACAAGCCTTTGTACATGTTTTTGCCGCACTTTTGTCACATGAACTTCGCCACTTTTTTCTCAACATATTTTTTTGTAGTGGAGTTAGTTTTAGATTACTTAAATCTTCCTCGTTGGATTCATCCTCATCAGTGTCGCTTACATCTTCGTAGTGATTGCCGTATGTATTTTGCATATTTAATATTTTCGGTGCTAATTTTTGACTTCTTAAATGAGGTGGAATGTCTTTGTTCTCCGTTTTAAAAAAAGAATTTCTCTGTAAGAGTAATAAATAAAACCAAATGCAAGTTATGCCAACCTACCTTAGTAGTAGTAAGTAAACTCATTCATTTAATCCAAGATAGGAGAATATATATCTTAAAAGAGACCACAATATAAATTAGGGTAGCCACCTTTTTTTGAACAAATACAGTATTTTTTTTCAAAATGGATGTAAAAATATAGTACTTTTGAGAAATTCCGGAGAAAAAAGTACTTACATACCTATTTATTTTTTATCTTTAGGTTTGTATGTATTCAATACAAATATGAATGTATTTATATATATATATATATATATATATATATTTTTTATTGCTTTTTGCTTTGGTTATTAATAATCTAAACACCTTACCTTCTACCTTACTTTTAAAATAATTATAGGAGTCTGAGCAACTTATAGATTCATGTTTTAATAATAATTTAATTAATACATAATAATTTAATATATAATAATTTAATTAATTTTTAATTTATTTTAATAAATTAAAAATTAATTAAGTTAATACATGCTCTTTTTCTTTCTTCTTTCAATTTTACATTAATGATGGAAACAAAATCCGTAAAACATACTTGTTCCAGACTTCTAATCACAGTTAATATACCTAACAAAGCGACAGTTGATTAAGGAATAAAAATATAGCATTTTTCGTACTATAGTATATTTCTGTCATTTGTAGTACAATTGACTGAAATATAGTACGATACTATATATTTTAGTACGGGTGGCAACTCTAATATAAATACATATCATGGACGAAATCAGCTTTTAAGATATCTAACAACAAGGGGTGTAGCACTGTTATCACCAATCCGTTTGCATGGAGTGACTATTACAGTCAATTCCACATTTTAAGATATTTCTAGACATTCGAGAAACCCTACTCCAGCCTACTTAATCTACTGCTAGTATACTTTATGTAAAAACCGTTATCCTTGAAACCAGTGGTTTGGTTTCACTTATAGAACATAAATTCAATGAATTTAAAAAAAAAACGCTATTTTCCTTCATAAAATTTTAAGTTTCTGTCCGACACCGTCCGTAAATTCATGGATACCCTATGCGCCCGAGTGACGTAATCACTGTAAAGTCCCTCGCTTCTTACACAACATTATAATAAAAACACAATTGATACACATAACCTGTGATGTAACTTTTCCTTCATACTTTCATCCTGGCTTAAGACAGGCAAAAATTGCGGAATTAAGGAAAAATTGAGATTTTACTAAAAAAAATTTTTGTTAATTTTCATTGAATTTACGTTCTATAAGTGAAACCATACCACTGGTTTCAAGGATAACGGTTATTACACTAACACCCTCGAGCCATTATGCGCGAGCACTAGCTTTAGTGAGAGTTCTGGTACCTACATAGGTACTTCTCGAGGGATTTGACCGTACTAATAAAGTACGAGGAGTTTCATGAACGCAGAGCCGACATCTTACCGAACGCAACAAAGCAGCCAGCTTTTTGCACAGCACTTTTAACTTAATCCTGCTTCTAGTTTTCATCGTCGGTCAAACAGACTTTTGGCTGACCTCGAATCTTTTGTTGTTCTAAGCATTCGTACCGTTTGGTTCGAATGCTTAGAACAACAAAAGTTTGGTTTCCTAATGAAATAATTTGTCAGCATCTGTCTTTCCATCCGATTACAATGTGGGTGGTATTCCATGGTATTCCAGGCATAAAATATATAGGCATAAAAGTGTATATAGGCTTTTATTAAGCTATGTCAGTGCGCTTCACCATCTTTGGTTGCATCACCACTTACCATCAAGTGGGATTACTAGTACTCGGGTACTGGGTTATAATAAAAAAATAGATAAAAAAGTTAATGCTGTACTCTATGATAAACACTAATTTGTTTTGAACATTTTCATACATTTTCCGCCATAACTTGGTCACCTGAGACTCGTACGTCACAGTCAAAGTTCTCAAATCAGCGGCTTCCAGGTGAGAGGTACGATAAAAAAAAGGTTGCATACTTTTCTATTTTTCATAAAATTTAAGAAATAAGACCTTACAGTCTACCTGATGATAGCTGGCTACTGCAGCAGCCCATGAACACCTGCAAATAGCTTCAAACAAAGAAGACTATAGATGTGAAGTTAGTTCTCACGTTGGTGGAATTCCTTACAGCCTGTTCCCAGCAGATGTGTCAATCATGAATGATTCGTTCGTTTGAGCTGGTACACTTAAAAGCAATGATGATCCATTCATCTGTTTTTTAATGTTCCGGTACAACCAATCACAAACAATTGACGGAACCTTTTTAACTCGTGATTGGTGTGAATTGTGAATGAGTCGAAAACCAACCGTATCCCGAATGTTCTGAATGAATTGTTTTTAGTGTTTATTGTTTTAATGACAACTATTTAACTAACGATATAGCTGCCGCCACTACACGGCTTTTTTTAATTTAAAATAAATCAAATACAAAGCTTAAATTATTTTAACACGGTGTCGCAAAAACCTAAGAAGATTTATCTCTACAACATGCTTCATCGAAGGCACTCGATGCTCCACCTACATACAGACATTAGAGCACAATGCCGCGCTAGCCGTTATGTGAGGTTTTTAGGAGCTATCTAGGTACTTGTTATTAAAAAGATATATCAAGTAATAAAAAACCTATTAAACTACATAATCTTGATTCTATAATAGCCAATTCCATTTTTTTAAAAGGAGTAAACACTTGATGAATCTTCCTACAACTAAATCACAGAAATGCGAAATAGTTATTGATAACATGTATCTCCTCATAAAGTAAGCATTATTTTACTTTGCGATTGACACTAAGGGATAGGCAATTTTTTAAAGAACATTTTGATCTATTTAATTTTTTCGAAGGACTAAAATTCGATTTTATAAAGAACATATTTGAAAATTTGGGCGTATTTCGTAGTTACAACTTTAAAATAATTTCGACAACGTCACTATACTAACGATTTAAGTTTACTGTAGAGTACACTGACATAATAATTATATGCACTCATTAAATAAATAGCAGAAGCTGCAATAACTTTTACGTTATTCTTCATAGCTTCTGGTATTTATGTTTGTTCACCAATTATTAATGACGATCAATTGTGGCCAGCATGTGGATAGCTTCACAAAAATTCGTGAAAATTGGCCTTGGAATTGGTTTCTTTCGAACTTGACCAACGTGAAGAGTGTAGCACTCGCCTTGTATCAATTTGCCTACCCTCGCGTTGGCCGAGGCTTGGCCAAAATGTATTGCCAGGGTTACGCGATATATTGTAGTAAGAGCGCGTGGAATGTATAGGACCACAAACTAATAAGAGTACTAACGTATATATTTTTTGATCGTAATTTCGCTTCGGAAGCCCTAGGATTAAGTAAAAATAAATTGCGCATTCTGGCAAGATCCCTAACTGGACACTGTTGCCTTAAAAAGCACATGTCCATGGGCAACTCAAGGATGTGTCGGTTCTGTTCCATAACGGAAGAAACGCATCTGCACATCCTAACTGAATGCAGACCATTAATGCGCAAACGTAACACTCATCTGGGAAACTATCTACTCCGCCCAGAAGAAGTGAAATTGCTCACGGCTAAGCAACTCCTTTTATTCATTGAAGACATAGAGCTTAGCAGTGAACTATAGCCATAGCAGCGATCACAATAGATCTTTTAGGTCGCAGTGATACTGGTCTCTTTTCCTAGACCTGCATAGCTGCTCGCACATAATAAAAAACGTATATAGGACAGAACGTTTAAGGTGATTCGCTAGGAGTGGGGGTGTAAGAGATCTACCAGAAGGATATCCATCACATTATTGAAATCTAAGATGAGCAGCAGCATCTTTCTGATAACAACTCTAAATACAAAGACGCTGTTTTGAGTTGAAAAGAGAAATTTGCCGCGCTCGACAGGCAAGTTGCCAACTTGCCTGCCAAGCGCGGCAAATAAACCCTGATGGATGTATTCAGCGATGGAATTTCTGATGATGACGGATAATGATTAAAAAACAAGCCATTCTTACGTCAACAATAGCAATTGCCACAATTTCATCTTCATCACTTAAGGAATCTTTGTAATATGAATCTCGGTATTCAGGAGCTGTTCTTAAAAATATCCCAGCGATATTTGTCTGTGAAACAAATGTATTACTAAAGACAAAAGAAAAACATTGTTTGTAACAATATCTTATCTAAAATTTTTGTAATCTTACCACGTAGCACAAAATGAAAACTAAATTGAATGATGAATACCCAGGTAGCAGCATTGTATGCTGTGTTCAACATTAAATATCTACGTAAGCTGAACACATTATTGCAGTTACAGTCGTATCTTGAAAATAACTTTCATAATTAAAAATTTTTCAGTGAAGTTAAACAAATTAATCGTGCTGAACGTGTTGCGAAATGTACTTATTAATTATCAATTTTATTTCTTTTTTCCAAGTAAAGTCAAACACTGGCTTATAAAAAGATAACAAATCCGTGTAGGGGCGTCGTAACATCGCCTGCCCATTTCGTCTCCAGGTAGGTAATAGACGACCATGGGATATGACGGAAAATTTAATAAACAAATAAAATAGAACAACAAAAAATTATAGTCTTTTATTAGGTGAAACAATATGTCTTTTTATAGCATTGGGTGACAAACGAGCACACAGTTCACCTGTTGCTAAGTGGATGCTGTGGCCCATAGACATCCATATTTATCCTCAATTAAGAATCAAAATGCAAATGCGTTGCCAAAACTGAGGACTAAGATGGTATGCCTCGACTCTAGTAAAAAGGGTTCGGTTCTCTACACTCACCATACGAAACACAGCAGCATTACGCTGCTATTTTACGCTGGTATTCCGTGAGAGCGTGGCGCTGCCCCGATCGAGCCGACCCATTCGTGCTACAACTATAATATAGCTGCAGCGTGGCCCTACTACGTACTGTGCTAAATAATATCTAAAGAATAAACATTTAATCGATTTCGTTTGGTTAACAGCCCGCGAAAATTGAATAATACCTCAGAAACGAAAAGAGAAAACTGAAGTTACAATACAATAATAATAATAACAGTCAGCTTCTCGGGTAATTTGAGGCGACTGGGACTCGCGACGGATCGTTCCAAGGTCAAATACAGAAGGCGGTACTCCCCGATACCGCCGGTTTCTTTCCCTTTCCCCCTAACCCTCGGCTGTTTGGTCAATCCAGCTGAGGTGTTCCATCTGGTTGGGTTTTTATTTATTTTATTAACTATTAATTTTTAATCAACCTACTATTTAAATAAATTCAAAATAAAGTGCGTTGGGGTAATACCGGGCGATTTTTGACTAGTTAAAAGAGTCGGGCAAAAACTTTATTTTCTCGACATCCATATACGTCAAATTTCTGAAGAATGGCGCAAATCGTTAATGGTTACACGTAATTTAGCTATAAGAAGCTTTTACTTTTCAAAACTCATCAGTTTATGCTTAAAACGTGTGCGAAGACAGGGCATAATTTTTTATATGCATGATGAAGAATTGGCCATCAAGGGGTAAGACCGGACGTCGCTAAAAATCGCAAATAAAAGTAATAGGGAAAGACCGGATTATAACATTTTTATTTATAGCATTTTTCCTTAAAAATCTTGTTAACTGGTCATCATTGACAGGTGTATTTTGTAACAAAATAGTCTGGAAGCATTATTGTTTTCCTGTAATAAAAAAATTCCAAAAGATTTCTTGATACATAAATATATATTATCTTCGACGTGGTTTATCTACTTACGTAATAGTATATTATTCGAAATTCGTAGCACAGTTCTTGAGTTGCATAATTTATTCAAATTAGTAACTTCTTTCAACGTTTTCACTCGTTTTTCGAAGAATTTAGAAGCTTGCGGAAGTGACTGGCATCTGTTATATCGGGAGCTTGATGTCTTAGCAATCTCTTATAGTTTGATGTTGTTTCTTTTATCGCCTACATTTAAGATACATTTGCTATGTTAATCAAAAAATAATGTTTATGTAAATAAATAATTATTTCAGCTATGGGTGAAGTTGAGTTATCCCATATAATCCCGTGGGTGCCATAAAAGTCGACAGATGATAATTATGCACGACGTAAGCGACGAGATACCTGCTTAGTGTAACCAGCACTGGTTGAACAACTCAGGGGCGGTGGGCGGAGCCACGGGGGTCGCGACCAGCGAGGTTCGACAACTAGCGAGGGTGCATACAACAACACAGAAAAACAGCCGTAGTCTTGGTTATTGTATTTAATTTTGTTAAACATGTATAACTTATATTAATATAAGATTTAGAATAAGATAATAAAAAAAAGAATGATGTAACCATGCAAATAACTCTCCCAATAAAGGCATCGAATAAATAACGAGAGTTAGCATAGATTTTAAAATATAAATTGTACTCTTATAGTTAATTTACCTTTGTTGCATATCACCTTTATTGTATACATATTACCATTCATATAAATTACCTTTCTTAAGATAATTATAACATTATCAGGGCATGTTATCGTGACGCGGCCGCGGAGTTAATGAAGCTACGCGTAGGGCGTTTTTTTTTTTTTGCGCCCGAAGCAATTAAAGGGCTACCCTATACGTAGGGAGGCGGAAAATGCATTACGCATACCACGATAGCCGGTCTATCGTGGTTATGAGGGGCTCACTGTCCTACCGGGGACCCTAAGTGATACCCTCTAAAAACCGCCTTTGGGGACAGGCAACCGGCTGATTAAGCTCTATTGTGCCTTATCATGAGCGACCCTCTTTTGGGAAAAGAGGGCGCAGGCGGCTAAGTGCCGCTGAGGGAGTGCCTACGAAGGCAAATTAATGTTAGATATTACAATAATTTTATTTAATTAGAGTTGGCCTGAGCCGCCAGGAGAGAGTTCAGGTCGTTTGAAAGTTTATTAGGAGGGTCCGAGAGAGAGTTTCTCGGCCTGCGGACACGATAGCGAGAGGGGGGGTGGGGCTGCATAAGAAGCTGCCTCACGAATTAAATGGTTTGGGTGCGACTCTGAGGCTTTGAAGAAGTTCTCAGAGAGTTTTTTAAAAAATTGTTGAATTGTTGGGAGCTCTAAGTCCCGATGAAGGTCGGCATTACGGACGTACCACGGTGCGTTCGCAGCTCGACGACAGAAGAGGTTCTGAACTATTTGGAGTTCATTTAAAATGTTAGGGTTTGCGTGGGCAAAGACGGGGCCCGCGTAGGACATGACTGGTCGTATACAGACCTTGTAAAGGGTACGCTTGTTTCGAAGGGACATTTTACTGTGTCGGCCCAACATACTGTTGAGCCTACTCAGATAAAACCGTGCGTGACGGGTTACTCTTTTGACGTGGGGCTTGAAAGTGAGCCCTGTGTCTAGAGTGACACCTAAATATTTGGCGGATGTATGCCAGGGGACAGGGGTCCCTAGCATACGTATTGGTGGAGTGTTTTTGAGACGGCGTCGTTTATAATCGAAGTGAACGGCGGAGCTCTTCTCCGGGTTTACATCGATGCGCCATTTTTTGAACCAAGCACCTAGGTCATCAACTGACTTTTGGATCTTGTTCCGTATGAAGGGTAGTGAGACACCTCTGCAGTAGATGGCAGTGTCGTCTGCGAAGAGGGAGAGTTGAACACCTTTCGACGGGATGGGAATGTCGTTGGTGAACAGGATGTACAGCAGAGGAGCAAGTACTGAGCCCTGAGGGACACCAGCCTTGATAGTTCGCTGTGAAGAAAGCGTGCCTTCGTGTCTAAAACGAAAGGTACGATGTTTTAAATAGGAGGCCACGAGACGAACTAGACGATCGGGGAGACCTATTTTATAGAGCTTGTAGATGAGGCCTGTGTGCCAGACTCTATCGAAAGCTTTGGCTATATCGACAAAGACCGCGATGGTCTTATGACGACGAGGATAGAAACCGCTGAGGATATATTCCACAATGCGGTGAACTTGTTGGGGAGTGTTTGGCTCGGAAACCGAATTGATGGGGAATGATAAGAGGGTCGCCGTCTGTGGGAAACAGATAGCGCCTCATACGCGTTTGGATGACTCTTTCGAAGAGCTTGCCCATTGCCTTGAGGAGGCTAATGGGGCGATGGCTGGAGGGGGGAGGTTGAGAGGCTTGCCTGGCTTGGGAATTCCAATCACAGTAGCCTCTTTCCACGTAGTGGGTAAATAACTGAGGTTGAAGCAGGCGTTGAAGATAATAGATAAAAAGGTTAACACCTGCTCAGGAAAGTGTTTTAGGGCTTGGTTGGAGATGCCAACCGCGCCCAGAGCCTTTTTGGGCTTAAGTCCTTTGATGAGGGATGAAATCTCATCATTGGACACAGAGATAGGTTCGGAGGCCGTAGGGGGTGAGTTCCGGCGGCGGACCTCATCCTCCACTGCCTGGACGTGAGAGGGGTCGACGGGTTGAGAACTAGGAGAGCATTGAGCGGCAATGCTATCTGCAAAGCACTCAGCCTTTTCCTCGTCCTCGAAGGCAACCGTGCCGTCGGGACGGGAGAGAGGGGGAGTGTGGGTGATAGCGTCTATGCGGAGGGCTCTGGCCATCTGATAGTACGCTGTATGAGATGGAGAGATATTCTCCATGAGTTTACTCTTTTCGAGGTCTCGAAATTCAGAGAGGCGGAAACGGAGTTCTCGTTGAAGACGATTGGCCGCGCGCCTATATTCGGGGGGTGGGATATTTTGCTGCTCTCCGGAAAGCAGCTTTTTTGGCTTTTAATAGGTTACTAATATGTAGGGGAAGCCCACTATTGTTAGCAACCGGGACGACCCTTTCGTTCTCCTTAAGGGAGGATTTAATAAGGGTGGAGAGTGAATCGACCGCGGTGTCGATTTTTTCAAGACCAAAGCTTTAGCTAGGGACTCCTTGAATCCCTTCCAGTTAGTGAAGGTTTTCGTGTGTGTTGGGGGAGGTGGCTGATGGCCAAGAATGAGGGAGACCGGTCGGTGATCTGATCCTAAATCGTCTAGTGTCTCGATTGCTCTGAGGTTGAGAGAAACTCCTTGGAGTAACGCAAAATCTAACACATCGGGGGCCGTGATCGGTGTTATCGGGAAAGTGAGTAACACCGAGAGGACTATGGACGGTAATATCAAGAGACTGCGTGATATCGAGCAGTATCTTGCCACTAGGGGACGTAGTGCGGCATGTCCATTCAGTATGCTTGGAGTTAAAATCTCCAAACATAATGACTGAATTGCCTAAAGATAAAATGGCCTCAAAATCCTTTTTGAGGGGATAGGTTCCTGAAGGGATGTAACAGGAGGCTATGAGGATGGACTGATGTCCAGCCATAGCTAGCCTGCATACCGTGGCTTCCATGTTGGTAAGCTGCGGAGTAGAAATGGGCGAGCAACGAAGTGTCTTCTTGTAATAGATGGCCGTTCCGCCGCCTCGGCGGTCGGGTCTGTCGTTACGAAGAAGAGAGAAGTTTTTAATAGAAAGGCCTCTAGTGTCCTTAGCTTTGAGATTAGTTTCCTGTAGGAGGAGGAAATCGACTTCACGATTCCGAAGAAAGAGCTTGAGCTCTGGGAGGTTATTTCGCAAGCCGCGAATATTAAATGATACAAGCGATAAACCCTTAGGTTTGATACGACCGTGAGATCTAGGTAGGTTAATTCGCTCAGTCATTGAAGTTAAGTTAATTAAGTTAACCTAACTTACAACGCTAACAGAAGGTTATTGTGCTCCGCAAGAACGAGGAGACGTTCTTGGGGGGACTTGGCCGTGCGCAGTTTGCGTGATACTACTGTTATTTCCCTAACATCGATATTCCTAATAGCGGAATATAGCGTGTTGTAGTCGTCGATTGTGGGCTCTGCTTCATGAGCGTACGAGGTTGTCCGCGGTGGGTCTGCCTTTTGGGGCCCCCAGGGAAAGACTGGAGGCTGCATTGGCTTGGAGAAGCCCGGAGGGGGCCGAATTATGCCCTGAGGGGGCCTAGTGGGACCCTGAGAGGGTCGAGAGAAGCCCTGGGTGGGCTGAGAAAGGCCCTGACGGGGCCGTTGTTGGAGGGCCGGGAATGAGCGGTCATTCATCGGCGGTGGAGCTTGCCTACTGGGGCGAGGTTTAGGTGCGCGTGGGCAACCCTTGTAATTAGCCGGGTGTCCTGTCTGGTTGCACAGGACACAAGCGGGCGGGGATTCGGCGTCTTTGGGCCGGGGACACTCTTTCGTGTTGTGTGGTTCTAGGCACTTAACGCACCTGGGTGGGGCGGAGCAGTTGGCCGCCGCGTGACCATAAAGTTGGCAGCGGTGGCACTGCGCCGGGAAACCGGGCCTATGTGGGGGCTCTACCTTCACCCTTGACAGGCCACACACTGTGCGTACCTGCCGGAAGATGGCTTTAGCCTCCGGCACGTTTGATAGGATTACTAGGGCAAGGTTGTATCTCTTGCCCGTTCTGTTGTGCATTTTGTGCACGGCTTCGACGGGAAAGCCTTGGGACTTAAGGTCCTCAAGTATTTCCTCGTTCGAGAACTCGAAGGGCACGCCTCGGATGACGGCCCTGACTTTACGCTCTTCCGGGAGAGCGTAGGTGTGGTAGGAGACTCGTTCGGCTGAGAAAAGCCTGGTGAGTTTTCGGAAATCCTCGATCGAGCTGGGGATGATTTTGATAGCCTCCCCGAGGTTGACAGCATTGTCGTACTTAATTCCTGCGTCGTAGCAGGTTTTTGACAGTTTGGTGAATTTGGCCTTGTCTCCTAGGAAGACAGGGGGCGGGACTTGCTTCTTAGCAAGGACTGGAGCACATCGAGAGGAAGGTTTAGATGGAGTTGGGATGTCAAGGGAC